TCCAATGTCCCGTGGGCGGTACGTCCGACTGCTAACAGTTTAAGGACTGGATCCATATCTAGGGATTATCTTTACGTTTACAGGTATGCATTTAGCTGTTTAAAAAAATAGTGGTTTTTTTTATTGTTAATAATTGTATTTATTTTTGGGTGCTCTGTTAATGTCCCTGGAAAATATAAATATTTGATAAAGAGTGTATTTTGTAGACCTGATATGTGCTGTCAGTGAGTAACTCCCTTTACAGTCAGCACACATCACAGAGGGACCACACCTTTTATTATTATTATTATTATTTTTTTAAACGGTCCGCTGACTCACAGCTTCCCTCTGAGGGTTTTTGCTACACCCGGGGTTTCAAAAAAGTAGCTTATATAAATATTGAAACCACGTCTACACATCTAGTTCACCAAAAACACCGACAGACATGCTCTGTCCAGCTGCAAAACTAAGATGTTCAGAGAACTTGAAATTTTAAAGCCAAAACCTTTGTCACTTTGAATTCTGCATTTAAACTTTATTCCTCAAAGACTTTGAAATCTAACGTGATTCTTCTTTTTCTTCTCTTTTCTTCTTCTCCCTATGAAAATATGCAGGAGCTCGCATCCGTATAACTTCATTTTATTTCTGTAACTTATTAAACATTTACTGAGTTGTAAGTTGCTAACATTGTAAACAGTTTCAAATTTGGAATGAGCAAACTTGAAATGAATTATTAAATTGATATAGATTATAGATGTTGTGGTCCAAGTCACCGGCAGCATAGTTGCCTGGACTTCCCTCTCGCCAGCCTCTATCTCATGCTCCTTTGGAGGGGGGGCTGTGCACCAAAGCGTTCCTGGGCCAGCTGAGACACAAACTCCCTAGTGTGTCCTGGATTGTGGGTTTTATTTGTGTGTGTGTTTGTTTGTTTGTTTGTTTGAGTTCACTTATTTATTTGGCAATAACTCAGTGAGATCAGCCTTAGGGATAAGTCAGCTATGCCCCACTTCCACTGGATATCCTCAAAGTATTCCTTCTGTTGCTTGACTGAGATCAACATCAGTAGCAGTTCATATCCACTGTATATGTTTGGGAAAGAAACCTGCTTCCTCCTCCTGAGCTGAGCACATTGCCATGTCGTCTTCAGGGCCAGCTGTAGCCCTTTGGACAAGGTACTGTAGCCCCAGTGCATCCATCTGGGTCTGCGTGAATACAGATCCATTTACCAGGGACTAAACTAGCAAAACATATCTGACTAATAAACTTGATAGTGAAGTTACTAATATAACTTCAGTTAGCCAATATAACAAATGGCTGCTGTTGTGATGGTGAATGGTTATGTGTCACTCTGTGTTAGCCTGTTTTAAATTCATGAATAAAAATAAGATAAGGTTCAAAAATTGGGGTGGTAGGGCGGTTAGCACTGTTGCCTCACAGCAAGAAAGTCCTGAGTTCAATTCCATCATCAGGCCAGGGCCTTTCTGTGTGGAGTTCGCATGTTCTCTCTGTGTTGGCGTGAAATTTCTCCAGGTACTCCGGCTTCCTCCCACAGTCCAAAGACATGCAGTTAGTGGGGTTAGGTTAATTGGTAACTCTAAATTGCCCACAAGTGTAAATATGAGAGCGTATGATTGTCTGTGTCTATGTGTAGATGCCAGGGTGTGGTAGCATTAGTTAGCTGAGCCGAGGTTAAAGCTTTCTTCTTTTTCTTTGGTAATAAACTGGCACCAGATGAATGCTAAAATCTTGGGGTGTCACCAAAACGTGTCACCATGCTAAGTTTTCTTTCAAACAAATAATTTTTAAATTGGAATCTACATATCTCATTTCTGAGTGCGTAAATAAAGACTAGACTCTCTATAATTTATCCAGCTATTGAAATCCTGTAGTAAAACCGGCGTTTCCTCACAAATATGAAAGCTAAATTGGAAGATTTAGAAATTTAAAAAATTCAAATGCCTAATGGAATTTAATGAAAAATAAAACTTTCTTTGCTTTATATAATCAACTTACAAAAAGGTAACAAAAACAGTGTCGTAAATATCAGATAACTTGGATGTAGGTGAATATATCAGTGTTACGTGTTGTGACAGTGCAGGGTTCAAACGAATAACTGAGTACATTTGTACTTCCAAAGCAAAGGGGTTCCCTGAAGGCAGCAGTTTTCCCCAGACTCTCCATCACAACACACAAACTGCACAGGAGCATCTCATGATAACTTGAACCAGAGCCCAAGGCACTGGCACATTCTGCACATTTCCCAGATCCCATCCAGTTGAGCACCCCAAAGGATTTTGTCCATGCCCACAGTCTTCCACTTGGGTGTTTGTGGCAATCCAAGCTTCTACTGCAACACCCTGAGGTGTCTTTGGGAGAACACTCACATAAAATTATGTGAATGATCTGAACTGCGTTCTGGGCCATCTCTTGCGGACAGCTTTTTTTTCTTTTTTTTTGCCTCCATTGTCTTTTTTGTGTTTTTTGCTTTCTGGAAAATGGAAAAAATGAATCAAGCTGAAGGGTCACAGTTTTGATTTAACGTCTTAAAATGGTCCAGAAGTGTTTAGTAGATGACCTTGAAGGGGAGATCAGTCATATTTTAATCAAGTAGGTTTTTTGTTTTTTATGTTATGGACCTGTCCTCAAAACAAACAGCTAGTATTTATGACTGATAAATGAAGGCCTTAATGGCACCACGCTGACTCATACCTCCCCTTTTAACTCGATAATCTGTATTCCAAATATTTGGCTATTTCTGCTTGGATACTCTTTTGTCAAGTGGCCTTTTATGGTGATAGAAAATCCTTCACCATTTCTTGCAGATGACCTAAAAGTCTGAAATTGAACAAAAAATGCTGAGATAAGGCAAGTGGAAGAAAAGGAAGTAACATAAAGAGAGCTGTTGTTCCTGTGCTCTGATTGCTTTGACACAGACGTGGCAAACCTCGTATTCTCCCCTTGTGGGAAAAGTAGCTGCTGTCAATACCAATGGCAGTGTTAAGTAGAGGCAATGTGTGTGAGCACGTTGGTATTCAGATGCAGTCATGAGGCTGGTTGCAGCCCAGATTCAGCCCCTTTTATCTTTCTGTCTCGGTCTGTTGATACGGTCAGGACTTGGCTGAATACTAATTACACTCAAATCTGCTCCCTGCTCGGCTCCGTGCAGATCCAGAAGCTTCTCATTGCTCTGTGTGTGTTTTATGTACACAGCACCACTTTGGTCCTTCTGACTAATGCTCATCTTTAGGTAAAAGTTAGCTCATTAGTGAGTGTAAAGTACACAGAGCTGTCAGTGTTTCACTCATGCACTCATGTTTTACTTTTTTTTTTTAATTGTTGTTAAAAAAAAAGTTCTATTTTCTACTCTCAGAGAGAGAGAGAGAGTCCCCCCCCCCCCGTGGGGGATGCTGTTCATTTTCTTCTGCATTTTATTAATATTGAAGTTTTCGGTGGCCGACGGCCATTGGTGTTAGACTGGAGATGGGATCTAACAAGACCGGCTTGCTTATTCCAATCAGACCTTTTTCTGTGTTGTTGTTGTTGTGTGAACAGATGTTTACTGTCTAGAAGAGCTAGATTACTCATTTTGTACAAATCATAAATATCTTCTTTAAAAAAGCAGTCCTCGTCATTATAAAGATTTAGCCTTTTTGGTTAATAGCTTTCTTTTCTCCTGTTTAGGTGCTGATGTTACCCCTCAAAAGATCAATAATAGTCAAACTGGTCCTTCCTTGCAGGAATCATATTTGTGATGCTCTACGTTTCCCCCCAGCCGCGTCGTAATATGGTTGACCCATGGTGCTGCACTGATATTGAGTCATTTTAAAATTACTGCAGATCATTTCAAACTGTATTTGTAATGTAACACTTACAAGAATAAAAGCATGATAGGTCACTGTCAGACAGACTTGGCAGATTCTCAGAAAACTGTGTTTGTCTTCAGTTCGGCTCGCATGATTCTGACTAGTTCCTATTGCTTTGTCTGTATACAAAACACACAAACACACACTCTCACACACACCTGCTGTACCTGCTTGGTTATAAAAATGGCTGATAAAAGAGAAAAGTGGGTAATATGGTGGCGATTGTTCTCTGAATGACTGGAAACTTGTAGTATTTGTGATACACACTAATATGGATACACGACGGTTTCTTTTCAGAAGGTTTTGAGCTTTTATAAAAATGACTGGATGTTCTAAATTCAGTGTTTCAAATGAAACTGGGCTAATTCTGTGATTTCCACCATCTACACTTTGAATTTACTTCATTGCAGAAACTCACATCATTGTTTATTACTTTTATTTTAAGCTTAAAGTACCTGTTATTTTTCACACTGCTCTTTATTGTGATGATGTTTCCTTTGGAAAAACAAACAAAAAAAACTCTAACTGGACACACTGAAAGCTCAAAGCCCCCCTGGGAGTCTGAGATGCATCTCAGTTAACAAGAGAAGAAAGGGAGAACTGCTCTGCATCCAAATGTTCCTACAGGAAGAGGGTGGGGTGGTGGAATGACTTGAACCTGGAGTGTAGCAGATGTATGTGGAAGCACTGAGTGTTTGCGTGTTTGGATCAAATATGAAACGTGAGCGTGTTAAAGATTCCACAAAGCCTTTTGGTGCTAGTTTTGTTTTTTCTCCCTGGTGCTGCTTTTTCTCTTTCTTCTCTCAGACCTGGCGCTTCAGTCCAGCTCAGAGTATTTACCTCCCTTTCTTAGCAAATAACAAGTGTCTGCCAGAAATGGCTTTACAGGACATGAAGCCACCAGAGAGCTACAGAAGCCAGATAAACTGCAGAGATTTTGCCAGATAATTTGGTTACTATGGCAACCAGGAGAATCTCCCTGTTTTCACTATGAACTGCTCTGAGCAGCTCTTTGCACAGGTTACCTTAAAAACCGTGTATTTTGATAGGTCAGAGGCTTTGACTGGAACAATGATCATGTGAGCTGAATGTCTAACAGTTGCCGTGTGTGTGTGTGTGTGTGTGTGTGTGTGTGTGTGTGTGTGTTGCCCTCTACAGGTCCTACGTTGCCCAGACAGGGCCCCCAGGTTCAGAATGGTCCCACACCAGAGGAGATGGACCTGCAGAGGAGGTAAGGACTACTTTTCATGCTTAAAGTCTGTCATAATGCAGGGTCTAACACTAAGTAATGCATTACATATCATGTATTGAAATAAGTAATACATGATATTAATCGCTCCCTGGCGAGTACTTCTTCACACTACTTGTTACATTACTTTTGTGTTACACTGTACCATGGCATGGAATATAATGGCACATAATTACCAGTAATGATATAAACCAGCGGTCCCCAACCCCGGTCCGTGAGTCGTTTGAAATTTATGAGTTTTAGGGTTTTTATCATGATTTTTTTTTTCGTTAACTCCCTTTTCCTGGGTCTTTTCCCTTGTGTTATGAGTAAATCTTTTTTGTTTTTTTGGTACTGGTACTGATTTTGTTGTATTTATCCGTGACACCTCAAGCCCAGTTCATGAAAATATTGCCTGACATAAACCGGTACGTGGCGCAAAAAAGGTCGGGGACTGCTGATATAAGCCTAAAGCTTATATTCCCACATGCTGGCACAAGTCCCTGTCCTAATGAGGATGCACACAGGATCTTTGTCAACAAAGTTGAAAACCAGGTCCTATTCCTGCTGTAAGAACAGGACAGGTAGAAATGGATGCTACAACACTAACCACTGCTTTTGTTACCTGTTGAAGATCAGGCTTTGGCTGCTTTGCTGCTTCTAACTTTGTTTTAGCATGTTAGCATGCTGTCTGTGCAGATGCTTGTAAAGAGAATTAATGTTGTGTTAGCAGAAGAAGACCATTGTTTCTGGTCTGACCACACTTTACTGCACCAAACATAATTTCCCTTTCTCAACTCATCGCTTTACTGCGTTCCTCCTCCCTGCTCTCTAAATCCAGTAATCAGATTAGTTACTGCTACGTCTTCATTGTTGTTGGCTTTCGGCTGCTCCCTTCAGAGGGAGCCACAACAGATAATCTGCCTCCATCTCAACGTATCCCAGCAACCCTCTACATGTCCTCCTTCACTACATCCATCCTGTGGTCTTCCCGTTTTCCTCCTGATTGGCAGCTCCATCTGCGCCATCCTTTTGCCTATATTATCCAGACTCCCTCCTCCTGCACATGTCCAAACTATCTCACCTAGCCTCTCTAACAGTAGCTCCAAGTTTCTGAACCCGATCTGTCCCTCTGACATGCTCATTTCTAATTGTGTCCATCTTGTTCACACTCAGTAAAAATCCTAACATTTACACTTTGCCACTTTTAGTTTTCCTTCTTTCTCTTTGGTGAGGTCTCACTACCATCTGTCACAGATCACCTCTGACACCAATGTCCACTCTGCCTGCACTCTCTTCTTGTCCTCATACTGATCAAGCCGTTATGTCGTTACTTTGTTACAGAAGTTATTGAATAATCTGTATGATTGATATTGAAGGACATACCATGCATTTTTATGCACACAGTGGTGATTATTTCGTAAGTTAAGTTTGTAAGGCCCTGGCCTAGAACAATGATAAAGCAAGGTGGGAATTAGAACAGACCTTCTTGTGATTGAGTCACTTCTGTTTGAGCGTGCAATGTGATGGCAAATCAAGAAAATAAAATAAGATTATTCATCAGTGGGTGAGGTCCATCTTTTAGATACAGTCTGTGAGAACAGTTTAAAGCCATGGGCCAAATTTAAGTATAAACAAATGGTAAAATAGTAGCTATGCTCAGAGATTGGGCTGTATTATTGTTTTAAAATGATTAACGGCAGAGAATAACAATTGTCATCTTTATGTGCTTAGTGACACCAGCAAAGCTCAGCTGTAACATAAGGCCTCTGAATGCTGTGGATATACAGTCTTATGCACGCATACACTCAAACAAAACCTTGTTTTTCTTCTCCATACAAGGCCACTTGTTCTTGAGGTAATATAGAAACCATGGAACAGCTACACACACAGTTACATGGATACACACAGGGCTGCATTAATGGAGCACAGCTGTTGGCTAAGGTTCAGAACCTGTTCAGCACTCTCACAGGCAGAGCAATTCTTGAGACGCCTTGGCTGTCTTAATAGTTTTGTCTTAATGCGCCACATGAGTCAACCAACAACACCTTATTACAACTACGTGGAGTTAACAGTGAAGTGAGAAATAAATAGGGGCATCAAAGTGAAATGTGTAACACTTGAAACATGATCAATCCAGGTGTTCAAGCACATTGCAAATGTGATGATTCTCCAAATAACCAAACTCCAATCCTGCTGAACACGTCATTATTTTAAAGTATTGTGTACTGCGAGACAGTGAAGGCATTGAGTAAATGTGGGTTTTGGCTGAACTGGGGTTTTTGTTTTGGGGTTTTGTTTTTGTTTGTTTATTTGTTTGTTTGGTTTTTTTTTGGGGGGGGGGGGGGGATTTCGTAATTTGATTAGAACGGTGTTGCATTTGTGCTTCTGGCATAGACTACTTAGACTGTTTACATGCACCTTTTTAACCGGCTGCCACAGCAAGACACATTTTTCCAACATACTGCAAAATCATCTTTGCATTCCTGCAAAATTCAAAGGGAACTTAGACTTGCAGACACATGCAAAATGCAATAATCTATATGGTGTTTTTGACATGGCCACCCACCAAACTTTTTCCCATAGTGGAAGGAAACATATTAGATTACTTGTTTTAGTTTATCTCATTATTAGAAATAAATGGAAAAGTGCAGTGATTTCTGTGAAAGTGGGCCTCAGTACTTCTAATTGTGTTGGAGGGGAACTTGAATCTGGCAGCTGGCGTCCCCTCCATTTCTTCTTGCTTTTTTTTCCTACTTCCCTATTGCTTTTCTCTTTTACCGTTTTGTCTCTGCCTGCTGTCATCGATCTCTTCCTTCTTACCTTCCCTTCCATGCTCTTGTTCCCAGTTCCAGTCACATTCCACACTTAGCAGCAGATGACAGACAGGCAGGAAGTGAAAACGTGACGGAGGTCATCTTATGATACAGAGGCTACTGTCAAGCCCGTGGAAGAGTGTGCAGAGGATGTGGGAGAACATAGGTTGAGAAAAGCGAGGGGGTCGGTGACGGGAGAAGAGGCGATGTGAGGAGAGTAGTGTAAAAATTAAATGCGCATTAGTACTAACCTTTCTGTTTATTAAAAGAAACACAAACTCACTGCAAGCTTTGGACTCTTGGGTTTACAAATATTACTTTTTGAACAACAGATGGCTGTCTTACATCCCCTCATTACACCACTGTCTGTGATCCAGCTGGTTTTGTTGACTGTTTATTGGAACATCTGTGAAACGGTCATCATGGGATTTTAATTTGTAGGGTCAGTTTGTAGTGTTTGCTGATCTGACCAAACTGTCCAACACGTGAATTCAGTCTTGGCTCTGTTTACCTCCACTGTACATCCTGCCTACTTCAGCTAATCACTCGAAAGGTTTGTGGTTTTCATCTGACTGTAGACACACCCGTAGTTAATCCATGGCAATCTAAAAGCCATTTTTGAGCCTTTTAATTCTAAATTTTCTAAACTTCAGCAGGTAGCTTGTATTGCTGTGGGATCAACTATGGCTCATATTCATAGCCAAGGCTCTACATCAGGAAGACTGATGTGGTTTCAGACAGTATTTTAGCAATGCTAGAGAGCTATGGCCACCTAAAATTAGGTAAAGTTAAGGACATGTGGTGTCATGGTGGTGTAGTGGTTGGCACTGTCACCTGACATTAATGCCAGAGGATGTTTGACTGATAAACTGTAGTTATCAAGTTGCAGCGCACTGGTGACTGATGACTCTTGCAGCACTTGCGACCACTAGGGCTGCCACAAACGACTATTTAATAGTCAACTAGTCACAAATTATTTTTGCGATTCGTCAACTAATCAGATCATGCATACAGCTTATTGCATCAGTGTGCGCCTGCTCTTATATAACTATCATTAGCTTACAGCTTGAAGTGTTTAAGGTATGTGCTAACTAAAAATAAAGACAAGATGATAGTTTATTAAACTTTTAATGAAATTTGCAGATTTTCTCAGTGGAGTTTAATAAACTCAGCAGTCTGCTCCTTGCTATCTAAAATATAACAGGACACTGGAGTAAATTCTCTACCATCTCACACTTCTGTTTAATCAGTTTTCTGTTTGACGTTTATTCAGCTATGTGAAAACTGTAACTTTAATCTCAGCCAAACAAATTTACGCAGGAACAAATAAAACACTGAAAAAAGCCAAACAACAACAGTTTTCAGTTATCTAAGTTATCTCGCAGGCTCTAGTGAGCCTTGAACCCTGTCTAGATGTCTCCGAAAACATAGGAGCACTTTTACAAATATGTGATGTCTTGATAAACTGGGCAGATATTTAAAGTTTACACAGCTACATTCTCGCCTGAAAATATGTTAAAAGTTTATTTTGTGACCCAGAAAGAGTAATAAGATTAAAATTAAAACTAAGTAGCTGCCACCATTGTTGGAAACTGGAATTGGCTGAGCCGTGCTATGAATTCTGGGATAGGTTGGGCCACAAAGGATATGCCCGACCCATCCTTCAAATCTGGGGATTGCAGAAGTCTTCGAATTTGGAAAGCCTTCGTTGCGTCGCTGTAACGTAATCGGCCCTCAAATGTGGCCTCCGAAGGATGCGGCCCATGAATTTGGACACAGCTATGATACCGGAGTTGCTTCTTCTTCTTCGGGGTTTAACGGCAGCTGGCATCCTTGTACATGGAGTGCTGCCACCTTCTGTTTCAATCCATTATTACACTCTTAAATCCTACTACTTATTCCTGCGTCTTTCAGGATCTTACGAGGCTTTAAACGACGTGTCAACTATTAAATTTGTCATTGATGTAATCGTGACTAGTCGACTAATCGTGGCAGCCCTAGCAACCAGGCTCTAACTTTATATCTTTGGTCTGTGGTCAGGAGTTGCTGTGTTTCTTAAACTTTTCCACTTTTTAATAAAACCACTTACACTTGATTGCAGAAGGGAGGGGTTTTTGAGGGAACAAATGTCACAAACAGCCTCAGTGGTGTCCTATTTCAATAACAGGCTCTAACTCATTGAGCTCT